CTCTCTCTCTCTCTCTCTCTCTCTGTCTCTCTCTCTCTCTCCCTCTCCCCTTGCTTTTCAGTGGATCACAGAATTTAGTCTCTTCAGCTTTCCATGGGGGTCTGCCTTTGTTACAACTCAACTAAGCTTCCTATGGAGTTGTAGCTTTTGAAATAGAGCATTAATTGGAAGCAATTATCCAATTATACCAGCAGTGACTATGCTGTATACTAAATATTTACCAAGGAAAAGAGCATTTAACTGAGGATTTAATTCAGCAGCCAAGTACAATAAGGCTGCAAGCAACCCTGCAATTGCTCAGGGGTGCCTTCAATGGCTGACACAGTCAAGAGTGTCCACGGTATAAGTTATAGAATAAAACAAGCACAGGGAGGCTTGATTCTCAAAGCAAGGCCAGTGTGTGTGATGTTAATTGCAAATGTAATCAAAGAGCTGTGTTTATTGTCTAACTGTGAGATTTCTCCAACTGTTTGATTTTAAAGCTTTTAGCTTTACTCACTATCTTCCCTCTCCTTTCCTCCTCGGGTGCCTTGTGTTGTATTCTGAAGCCATCCTTGAGAAGGATGCTTCGGAAGCACTTTAGGCACTTCTCAGATGAGCACCAGGGAGAGCTGCCTTGGGCAGAATGCAGTGCTGCAGCCTGGGTGTTATAATGAGCCGCCGGCAGTCATTTGCTGCCTGTGATCTGCAGCTTCCCGAGTGCTGGCCAAGTCCTTGGCAGGGAAGGTTTGGCTGGGCTACTAGCATTGATTAAATGGTGTGAAGAGAATCCACATGGTGTCAAGGAATATTTATATGGGCAAAAATCCATCAGCAGCACCTGCAATACTGGCGCTCCAAGAAACGGAAGAGAATGTCCATTGAATTTGTTAGCTTCATGTGAAAGACACTAAAACAAAGAAAACTGAACACGCTGCCACCAACTCTTGGGTCATCTTATTGGTGGCTGTCTTGACAAAGCAATGTAGTTCCTTCTGCTATGATGTCACCTTTGTCCAATCATAACCTTCCTTAGGAGAGCAGAGGATAACTCTGGAGACAAGGTGAGTGACAGCAGGAAGCCACGCAGCAGTCACTAGGCAACAAGAGCCAGCCTTCAGCGGATGAGAATTTTAAAGAGTTAACCCTTGCACAGGCTGGTTGTGTGCTGAACTGGTGGGAACCTCGGGAGAAAAGCCCAATAGGAATACAACTGTTTGTTTCTACAGCTGTGCTCCTCTGTGCAACGTGGGAACATGGCCTTCTCAGTCAGAAATGGTTGGGGAAAGTAGAAATTTCTTACACACACACACCCCTTTTATTTATTTATTTACAAGAGTAGGGCTGTAAACCAGCTAGAACCTCTTTGGTGTTTTATGATGGCTCTTCAGTTGTTCTGAATAAATAGGCCACACCAGGGCGTGTCACAAAAGGGAGTATCACTGAAATCGGCCTGCACTCCCTCCCCAAGGTATGCATGGTTGGGACAGTGTGGACAAGAGTGTGTGTCCAAAGCACCGCCTTCCTGGGCACCCTGAGTAGTTTGTCTGCCCAGAGCAGGTACTTTCTCAACACTTGCTCAAAACTGCTGCATGAGCATGGGGTCAAGATGCCATAAGAAAGTTTATCTTTCTGTCCTTTTTAAAATTCCAGCTAAACAAAAGTTCTGCGAACTTGTCCCGCCTTCCTCCTCTGCTGTTGAATTTAGCTGAGGGCTAGACACGCCCAGAATATATAATCTTGCTTCCAAAATGGGGTTCCAGAATCACCTTATTCAGATGATTTTGGTTAACATTAGAAATTCCAGGGAAGCCGGGTGGTGGTGGCGCACGCCTTTTATCCCAGCGCTCGGAAGGCAGAGGCAGGAGGACCTCTTTGAGTTCGAGGTCAGTCTGGTCTACAAGAGCTAGTTCCAGGACTGCCAAGGCTACACTGAGAAACCCTGTCTCAAAAGAGGGAGGGAGAGAGGGAGAGATTCCAGGGTTGGGGTCCTCTTGAAACTAGTTTCTTTTCTTTGTTGCTAATTTGAGAGCCCTGGTTGTTTTGCTGTATTTTCTTCCCATTAGCAGTTAGGATGCATCATGACTTCCTGAAGAGAACTCTTCTTTGGTTTGTGTCCAGCTCATACTGGCCGGTGGGTGAGACAGTGAGGACAGTCTCCTAGAGGGCTGGGCTCCTCCTGTCTTCTCCAGCAGTGCCTGATACAGTGAATGTGCAGGCCTGTGTTCATGACTGCGTCAGTCAGCTGACTAACTCAATGGTGTTCCATCCAGGAGGATACAGTGAGACGGGTAGGTAACACCTTAAAATTGTCCGCAGCCTAACTAGGAGTGTGGTTAGTGCCTATAAGTCCAGAGCTTGGCAGAAGGAGTCAAGAGCGCTGTCATGAGTCTGAGGCCAACCTGGGCTGTAGTGCGCAATACCGTCTCAAAAATCACTAAACACTTGTCAGAAACCTTGCAAGCTTGTCTAGTACACCACCCGCTTTTCAGTTAGGAAACTGAGACCCAAGTAGCCCCCAATTCCTTATGAGGTGTAGGCAGGTTTCTCTGTAATTAGTCGGTTGTGGGGGTTGATTTAGGTGACAATCCTGTGGCGTTCAAAGACCATTTCCTTTAATCTTGCTCCCGGGCTCATCTAGGGTCATTAAATCTGTCCTAACGTTTTGAAAACTGAAACTCAAACCAGGTCAGAAATAGACAGGCTCTATGTTTGACAAAGCAGAGCCTCTTAGAATCTGGAAAATAGAAACCTCAAAAAGAGACATGTAGGTAGGTAGATAGGTAAGTAGGTACATAGGTAGGTAGATACGTAGGTAGGTAGCTAGGTAGGTGCATACGTAGATAGGTATATAGGTAGGTAGGTAGGTAGGTAGGTAGGTAGGTAGGAAGGTGCATATGTAGATAGGTAAGTAGGTACATAGGTAGGTATATAAATAGGTAGGTAGGTACGTAGGTAGGCAAATGGATGGGTAAGCCATAGAACTAAATGAATGTACACCTAGAGAAGTTACTAAATCTGCATGAGTTTCCTTGTTGTTTATCTTTTTTACATATTCCTGCTACTTGTCATTAAGCCAACGGTACTGACTTTCTCTCCTCACTTCTGCTCTTAGAGATGTAGGAAAGA